CCACAAATTTCCCACCTCTTTATTGCAAAACTATTATCCCCAATAAATATTTGAAAAAATGTCCCATCTTCTAGACAAATAATAATCATTTCTCTCGGGACCAATCACCAGTCCTCCCGCCACTTTTCCGTTCAAGCTTTACATTTGTAATCTGGATGTCTTTTGAAGCTGCTTTGCACATGTCATATACCGTCAGGCCAGCTACAGTCACTGCCGTCAAGGCCTCCATCTCCACTCCGGTCTGTCCGCATGTGGCCACTTCCCCTTCTATCTCAACACTCGAATCTTCAGGGTTCAAAGTCAAAACCACTCGGACATGCGTCAAGTTAATATTGTGGCACAGTGGGATGATTCTGCTCGTCTCCTTTGCCCCGCAGATTCCAGCTATCTTAGCCACACCAAGAACGTCTCCTTTCCCCATCTCGTTGGCTGAAACAAGGTCGAACACTTTCCTTCCCAAAATGACCTTGCAGCTAGCAACTGCCACTCTATTGCTATCCTCTTTACTTGATACGTCTACCATTTTTGCCTCACCTGTGCTGCCAATGTGAGTCAACCTTAAGTCATTTTTATGGACATCTGGTGGGAGAGAGATGGACTCTATTGTAGCATCCTGGTTTCTGGCATGGCCTGAAAGACTAGCTGGGGGAGGTTCACCAAATATGGATTCCATTTCCTGAGAATAGCAGCCCACAGACACCAATGAGCATCTATCAAGAATTACTCCAATTGCATTGTATATTAAAAACATCAAGAGATGCAAGACCATACATTTCAAACAATGTATGATCATGTCAAGCCAATGATATGGTGCTGTAATCGAAAGAAGATATCCCATTTATAAGAATCATACAATACTAAGCCTCCTCCGTGCACACTCCTATCTTTATTGCAATCTATCTAATGATTCTAATCTACTGCGACCGTGCAACGCACCAGCCATCTCTACCACCATACATCTCATACAGGCATACAGCCACTTGAATGCTTGCATTGAATTTGTAGAACTTCTCCTTTCATTCTTGCTCATCTGCCTATCACAAGTTCAATAGATGTTTTTTCATGTGTAAAATTTATGTTTCAATTTTGAATAACCAGGTTATTTTTCCGGGAAACCCAAATTCAAACCTTTTGAGGTCGTGTGTATGCCATTGAATTGCCTCAATCATGCTAAACCTCACATTCACACCTCAATCATACTCTCTTCAATGCCTGTTACTCTTTTTTATGCCTATTATTGAGTATGTTTTGTGGGTTTCTGAATTTGAATGTCTTTTCATCAAAACCAAAACTTTATCTTCTTTATCATTCTTTCTTTTTGTTTTATCCTTTATTTTGTTTATCTTTCTATGTTCTTTATGTTATTTTTAGTTTTTATCTTTTCTTATGTTCTTTTATCTTTTTATCTTTATCTTTCTTATATTTTTATGTTATTTTTATCTTATATTTATCTTATCAATTTTATCTTACCTTAATTTTTTATTTTTCTTATCTTTCTTCTCTATTTGGCCCTATGATCATGGATCGATTCATGTTAGCCGAACCCAAATTCTTTTGGGACAAAGCTTAGTTGTTGTTGTTGTTCATCAAGTCATCAAAACCAAGACTATTTGATCTTCACGCTCTAAAAGCACTTGTATTTCTTGTGGAACTTTAAGTCTAATCAGTAGAGGGGCTAAACCAATATTTCTACGCACCGATTTAAAAAAAAAACTAAAATATAAAAAAAAACGGACAAATATCAATACTATGATGAGTGCACAATTCATAATATTATAACAAGTACTTTAAACTTGCATATTCTTTTTTATCCCAGTGAGCAAACCACCAAAACTTTAAAATTTTATATTATATCTGGATGTTTACATATATTCTATTATCAATTTATTGGTAATTGATTTCATCTTACCAAATTTGATGTTGAATAGGAATCAAAATTTCAGTACATAACTCTAAACTTTGATGTTAATTTTCTGAATTTGATAAAACTTTCACATTTCTATTGATGCTTGATACTGATGTGTGTGTGTGTGTGTGTCAACATGTTTTTTAAAGTAGAACAAATATCTAGCATACAGTTTTTTATATCCCTGTCTGCTATTAAGTTATAGAGTTTCTTGAAGTGAATGTTTGAAAGAGAAGTTCATAAGATACTAAGAGATAACCTTGTTAAGTTCTGCAATAGCATTGGAAATATCATGGTTACTAGCATTGCAAAAGAACCTGGTTGGTTGAGGCAACTTTGTAGCAACCCGGCGAAGAAACATTGTGAGACTGGCTTAGAGTGCTTCACCTGTAATTAGAAGACAACTAAATTCAAAGAAAAATCAATTTTGCAGTTTTACCTATAAACATTTAGGCATATCCACAAACAGATGTTGAGCATGTCCCTTGGAAACATATATGAAACCCTGACGACAAAGAGCAGAATTTCGAACATATACTATTATTACATACTCTTGCCGCCTAGAATCAAAAGTTGAGTAATTGCATTCTATGAGGTAACTTTGAGCATCTTCTGCATTGTGTGTTCTTCAAAGTTTTTAATCAGGGAGAAGGTTGGGAATGTGCACTAAATGTTGTGTTTGTGCAGGGGAGGGGGAGCTTTTTTATAGCCCTCCCATCAATCAATCCAATCCAAAACATGTAACCTAGGTGCTAACGTAGTAAACCTACTTGCAACCTATTCGCTATAGGCACCTATTTATGGAGAATCGAAGTTCTCCCTGTAGAAGTTCTTATGACGGATAGCAGGGCATATAGAAGTTGGACAAATAAGATGCATAACTCATCGTAAGTAAAATGATGAAAAATAACTCCTGGTTGCTCTCTCTTCCCTCTCCAGGTATCGGGCGCCGCCACTCACAGTGGCTGTCGCCGTCGGGGCCCTCCTAGCTCCGGTTAGCTTCTTTTGCTGCGGCGCGATTGGGCAGCGATGGCTGAGCTGGGTTTGGGTTTGACCCTTGCTACGTGAGGATTTTGGACGCCTGCTGTGGGCTTTGGACTAGCCGCTGGCCCAATGACGTGGCTTCATTGCTTTGGACCTGGGACAGCTTTGGATGCTTGCTTGCAAGCTAGTGGGCCACTGGAGCTCTGGGAGATGGAGGATGGGCCTTAACAGGCTTGGAGTCCATGGAACATTGGAGCTAGGGGTGAGCAAAAATCCCGGTCCCGGTGTCCCAAACCGAAAAATCCCGATACCGTTCCGAAACTATCCCGATACATTTAGGACGCAAGTATTTCATCCCGAACCGGTCTCGCACCGATATTAACCGGGATGGGACCGGGATAGCTATAAAATATCATGTCCCGTCCTGGTGTCCCGTTTGAAATTAATATGTTATTTTAAATTTCTAATGCTATGTAATAGTCAAATCCAATTAAAACTTTGTAGTCCTTAGTCTCCCTAGTGTAATTTTATCTTCCTCTGTATCTCTCTTAGTCTCGTTTCTTTTGTTTCTTTTGTTTAAAATTTGTTTAATTCCCATTCCAATACTAATCCATAATATATTATTAAAAAATGTTTGGGGTACACAAAATGTGTACATCTAACAAAACTCTATATTATTACGTGCGAAATATTATTTGTGATGGAATAACTACTAATGTACTCCAAATTATAGTGTTGTTATAGATTTAATATTTTCCAAAATAACTAATAGAAAATATATACATTGTCTTTATAGATATGATATTTAATTTAAAGTGGTATTGGAAAATTACAAGTGTACTACAAAAGTATAAAATTATTTTGCGCTACTATATATTCTACTAGAGAAAACACAAGATTAGGGGGACCAAAAAAATGTACAAGACAAAAAATAAAAGTAATTAACTAAAACTTTGTTTGTAACCACTTGTGCTTAAATAAAAGCACTTTTTGGGAAAAAGTGATTAGTAGTAAAAGTTGGTAGTGTTTGGTAAAATAATTGTTTTTTTCTTAGAAAAAAGCCAAAATCACTTTTCTTAAGTGATTGCAAACAAGCCCTAAAGGTTTTACTTAACTGTACTCTTTAGCTGAGAAACTAAATTTGCAAAAATAGTTACGTCTTTATTCTGATGTTATGTTTATTTTTATATCACATTTCACAAATGCATATTTTATGGGACATCTCGAACCGTCCCAGTTTTTCTCGGGTTGTTTCGGTCCCATTTTAAATTGGACAACATTGAGATAAAGACTTATCCCGTACCGGACCGGACCGTTATTATAAAATCGGGACGGGATTGGGATAAGCCAAATCCCGAACCGTGCCCACCCCTAATTGGAGCTTACTTGGATTTATTTGGATTTCTTCGGTTTCTTTTTTACACTAAGTCGGGGAATGTCCCGTGCTAGTCTTGATCTTCTGGGTTTTTTGACGTTTAAATTTCTCTCCCCACCAAGTGCCGCATGGTAAGTGGTGGAGAGAACGTTTGATAGTATGGTTACTTTTGGGTGATTTTTGATATACTTACTTTTCATCCAAAAAACTTTAACTCTATGTTGGTAGAAAAAATAGAAAATTAGTTGCTTCCACTTACGGGTCCAAAAAATGAGACCTCATAGGGAAAAGACACTATAGAATTCAATAATTTTTTATGCACACAAAAGTTGCACACATTTTGCACACATTTTTAGGTTATCATATACTTCCTCCGTTCTTTTTTAGATGCAACGGTCAACATTTCACACTTGCCAACGCACATCTTTGACCATAATTATATCTTAATCTCTATTAGTAAAAAATATTTAAAAATTAGATTTAGAAAATTTGTAATGAGATTAATTGAATAATATTTTTTTAGAAAAATAATTTTCATAAAATAATATTATAAAATGTAATCAAAGTAGTATATGTGAATAGTGTAAAATTCAACATGTTGCGATTAAAAAGAGACGCTGGATAGTATACACTCAGACAATGTTGCACGAATTGTTTGTGTAATGGATGTATACGATATTAGTGTACACAAATAATTATGTAGAAATGTGTACGAAATATATGTAAGAATTTTGTCTAAACACGATTTTTGTATAGTTTGTACAGGGCACAGAATACGTGAAGGGGTGCGGATACACTATAGATATATATCGAATCACGGCGTCAATCAGCGTGAATCGGAAAATGGAAAGCGGTTCTCGTATCACCCGGTCACAGGCGGCGCCGAACTGGACGGCGCAAGAATCCCTGACACTGGTGAACGAGATCAAAGCCGTGGAGGCGGAGTGCGGGAGCACGATGCCGTCCTTCCAGAAGTGGCAGCTCACTGTCGCGCACTGCAACGCCCTCGACGTCTGCCGGAGCCTGGACCAATGTAAGAGAAAGTGGGAATCCTTGATGGAAGATTACCGGAGGGTTAAGCAATTGGAGTTCCGCCACGGGATGGCATTGTTTGATGAAGACCGGATGGAGGATTTGGGGGTTCCGGGGGATTTCACTTTGGAGTTGTTCGTCGCCATTGATTCGTATGTGAAAATGCAGGGGAAGGACGCAAGCGGGGTTGATACGGACCTGGACAGTGATCCTGAAGCTCAGGCTGATGATTCTGTCTTCGTGGGAAGTGGTATGCCTTAATTGGTGCATTTTTATTTTATTTTAGATGCTCCCAGTATTACAGCATTTTAATATTCAATTCATGTCCTTGACAATTTATCAGTGTTTCTCTGTCCATGACCAGACCATATACATTATCAAAAATAGTGCTGGACTATGTATAATCCATGCATTCTAATTTTGGACATTTCTGCTCTACTGGCTTTCAGTGAAGCAAGATATCCGAGCACTATTTTTGGTTTGTGTTGATTCCCTTCTTTAGTTCTCCTTAAATTTGTCTGGCAGTAACTTGGAGCTATATATAGGAACCACTGTCTTTGATCATTTTACAGTTTTTGCTGTCATTGCATATTAGCATTTATTACTTCCAGAGTTTTATATGGAACAAAGTTGACTTAGCTGGGACTTCTATGCTCCTATATTGCATTCTTCTTTTAGGTATCATCAATTAATAATTACTAGAATGAAAAACCAATCAATCGAGTTTATTCCTTCTTTGCATTAGTATAGAGCACTAGTATCGAGATTATGTGTTGTATTTGAGATTATGTGTGGTGCAAGCTCTTGAAGTAAACAATGACAAACTATTAGTAGGGAAAAGAGAAAGCTGCTTAATAGATTCTCCCAATATCCACTATAATGTTTGTATTTAGCTCTTCCTTGAAGTATAGTTCAGATGGGTTATTCTCCCATGCTAAACGTTTACATACTGCCAGGGGCGGAGCCAGAAAAATGTGTGAGGGGGGTCGGAATTTAATTTTATACAGCCAAAATGATGGATAGCTATTATACAATACTTGAGTTAAATGTTTTATATGTAGCTGAGATAAATGGTAGTTTAATGAGCATTTATCAGTTAATGTATTGATATATATGGAATGTATCATAATATTAACACAACTAATGACTCAATAAGGTGTTTTATTTTTAAATTTAAGAATATAATCAACGTCACACATCAAATTTTGCTTATTTCAAGTTAAGATGGTGTTGATTTTCCAGAAGTCATAACTTTTTACTCGTAATGAGTTACGGGACCCATAATATATCAAATCGAAGGTATTTCAGAACTTTACATTCTCAAACTTTCAGCGTGGTCGGCTGACCACCCTGACACCCCCTTGGCTCCGCCCCTGCATACTGCTGTACTTTGATATGACATGGAAAGTAATATCATGTGTTTCACACTTTCACCCATCAGTCTGTTTCACCGTCTAATAATTTTTTACTATGTACTACTTGTTAACATAGACACAAACTTTAAAGGTAGCGAGGAAAAATACATACCTATCGTGAATTCGTGATTGATTTAGGAAAGTTAATTACATTTTGGGACATTCCAGAAAGGAAATGAAGACACCCTTTTAGGTGTCGAGGGAGTAGTTTCTACATGGGCCAAAGTTACTAATGTTCAACCCTGAAATTTGAACTCGAATGAACTCAACATATATAATAGCATTACTTCACACCGAGTGGGTTATATGCATTTCTCATTTTCGGCATCTATTTAATATAACTTTTAAAAGTCACCAAACTAAACAACAATGCAATAGCTACAAAGAGCCAAAGAGGTTTCCAGACAGATTCGACTATTTTGTTCTTTTTTGCAAGACCTGAAGTTAAGTCTGACACCACTATTTCCTTATGACTTATAATTGATATAAACTGAATGGAAAGTCCTGGCCTGCACCGTTGCAACTGTATTAAAGTGTCTATGAGAAAAACTGTAAAAGCGTGTGTGGGAACGGGTTTGAGGGTTATTCTTTAACAAATAACATGCATTTGAGTTCTGACCTGTGGATGCCGTGGTATTCGCTTTTCAATGTTATGCACCTTCTTTTCATGAAGTGGAAAGACTACAAAGTATTTACACTTTTGATTTGACTATAACATTTACACTTTTATCCTGTTATTACTCCGTATTTAAAAGTAGAGTTGTTGTTTGACATGTTCCCCTATTTTATTGTGTTGTCTTTTCATTCTATGTGTCCAAGTTAATGATAATGTGAAAATATACATTCATGTAAACTTAGTTTAAAAAAGTCGCATTAGAAAAGCTGGGTAGAGCAGATTCCAGAGAGTAATTGCGCTTTCCTCGCTTTTCCCCTGCCTTTTCGCCCATCATGAGGCTTACACCTCATCTGACTCTGGGATTAGGTTTCGGCACAATAGTGTCCTGCGGCTATCAAAGTGTCCTACGGCTATAATTCTCTTCTTCTGTAGTATTTAAATAAAGTGGCATTTACTTCTCAGAGTCCAACATAATCTCTTCTTCTTTATCAATAAATCTGTTTTGGATCCATTCTATGGACATGTATATCAGCGAATGCGTGGCCGAGAAGATTTAGGAAATTTAGTTGGGGCTATCGGGAAAGATCAGGAATGTATTACGTGGTTGATCAGGAGGCTAATTCAGATCCTAGTTATTTCCAATTCATAGTTATTTTCTTTATTCAGTTAGGAAAGCTGGCAGCATTTAATTAATTAGATCCTTATTTTTTTAGATTCATAGTTATTTCCTTATTCAGTTACGAAACTTCCTATTATTCTTATGTTTCCTATTAGGACTCTTGTATTCTTTATATAAGGGCCTAATATTGGTTAATAAAGTACTTTTGGAAGAATTGATTTTGATGTGTCTTGACTAGGTCGGGCACCAATTAAATTCCACCTTAAGACTCTTACATAATTATTCTTGATCACGTCCAATAATCTGAAAATAACAATATTGATCCTAAGGTCTCAATTAGCTCCTCTTCTCTTTTGAGATCCCGTTTGAGGCCTTGGACAAGGTCGTATACGTGGGAGGTGGGTCCTTAACAAAATCATTCTTCCACTCTTCCCTTTCTGTCTGCGACTCTGCCCCCAGATTTCGCACATCAGGTTTCTCTCTTTCTCGAGTCTCGACAAGTACATTATTTTCTCCTTTCTTCTTGGACTTCTCTTAATCTGTTACTTTATTACCTCTTGAGTTAATACCATATTCTTCTGCATATGCATTCTGCTCATGAGTTAATACTGTTTCATGACTTGTATTAATGACTTGTAGTATTTTTGTCATTTTGTGCTAAAGTGAGTAAAAATGCTCCATACCGCCTCACACCTTTTAAAAGCTAAAGTGAATAAAACGCCCCATGCCGCCTCGCGCCTTTTAAAACTAAGCATGTAAATAATACTAGTAGTATTTTTAATTTATGTTTTGATCAGTACTACAAGAAGGATATTTAATTGAAGGACCCGACTGATGTCTATGGAGTCTTTAACTACTTAATGAACCTAACCATGCTCAAACTGAACTATAGGACTTCATATGTGTTCGCACTGAACTGCTGAGTTTTTCTTAGAATTGTCAATATTTTGAAGAGTAAATAAATTATGGCATGCTCTTTTAGTATCGTACTATGTGTTTATTGCTTAAAAGATTTGACTTACTACTGCAATAGGAAATTAGGAGTGTGGGATCTGCTTTTATAAGCTACGAACCACCATGGCTTCATAGTATTCCTAGCCCCAAAAAAGTCCCTTTTCAACCACTTCTTTTGTCCCTAGAAAGTTGAAGACTCCACATTGATCAAACCCTTAAATTTTTCATGTCGTTTGGAAAAAACATTTTACATTAAAATGTCACACACTAGTTATATGCTAAGTGTATTGAGACAAATAAATATTTTTTTATAATATAAGTATTACTCATGTTTTATAGAGTTGTACATTTTCAAAATAAAAAAGTTATACATTGGTGAAAAAGGACACTTTTCCTGTGATGGAGGTAGTATTATTTACTTACCACGTATATTTTCTGACAATTCGTCAATCATCAGTCTCCATCCTAGAAAACATAAGATGGTTTTTCATGAATCTTTTTCCACAACAATAGACGGGAATGGTTTGCATGCCAGGTAGGGCCTCAAGAGAAACACACGCTCATGGGTTTTAATAGAGCTGCATTCTCCCGGCTCGAACTCAGGGCCTTTGGTTAGGTTGGAAAAGAGATCCAAGCCATCTCATCCACACTCTCATTGATATAGTAAAGTTCTTCCTTCTAAGAAAACAGATTATGACTTTGGATAGAGCGAAGTGAATGAAGAATATGTGTGTGGATGATTGATTTGATTTCATCTTTTTTATTTTTCCCTTTCTTATCTTCTTTATTTTATATCTTTTTATCTTATCTGTATCTTTTTCCATCATTTGCAATGGAGCCAAAGACTCACTATTATTTGGCTTGGGAATATGATGGAATAAAGCAAAATGGCTCACTAAACTGTTTGCGCTTCTTTGTTATGAAGCAGCAGTCTGTCCATGCAATTCTCGACGCGATTTTCACTACGGGTCATCCGGAAACAGTCTTTTTGTACTTTAGTACAAGGGTAAGACTACGTACATCCGACCCCCCTTACCCTACCGAAGGTGGGAGCCTTTGGGGCACTGGGGTAATGAAGATGAAGATATCTTATCTTTATGTTTTTTATCTTTATCTTTTTTATTTTATATCTTTTTATCTTATCTGTATATTTTTTATCTTTATCTTTTTTATTTTATATCTTTTTATCTTATCAGTATCTTTTTTATCTTTATCTTTTTTATTTTTATCTGTTGTGTCTTTTTTACCTTTTTTTTTAAAAAAAAGGGTAAACTTTTATTGAATTAAAGGGAAAATACAGTGCGAGAAATAAAGGAAAAAACAGTACAAAAATGAAAAGTAAAAATCTAGTCCCAAGGGAATTTTTTGGACTGATCTAGTTTTCATGCTATGACACCCGCTTATTCTTCTGAGCTTTCCTGTAAATTTGGAGTTGTGTATTCAGGTTCTCAGTTGGCAGGCTATTGTCCAGTGTGATGAACTGGGATTTATAGCACATTTCTGATTTCTCTATTGAATTTAGAGTCCCGAATATCCTCCTGCTTGGAGATAGGAAGTCGACAGTCGTTTTCTGTTGCGTGCCCTAGAAAGTCGTCTGATAAGAACGAGTCATCTGATGGGTCAAAGCTGTCAGATGCGTCCTAGTAAGCTTGAATCTTTGATTGTTTGGTGTATTTTTCCAAAGAGGGAATCCTTTGGATCATGGCGTCAGCTGCCAATATATCTAAATTTAGGAGTTCTTTGGATAATGAAGCAGTAACCTCATTGTCCGCCCTATTGCGGTGAACTAAAATCGTCGGGTCCTCCTGCACTATAGTTAGGACAACAAAATTAGAGAAAATATTTATAAACCAGACAATCCTGTTTTTTGTCTTTTTTAGCTTCTATTTCATATATCGATCCATGTTAGCGGATCCCAAATTCTTTTGGGACTAAGGTTTGAATGTTGTTGTTTTGTACAGATGCACTTTCTATAATCGAACAGAGTCAATCAACTTAGTATACTGGCAGATACTTCATACTCCTTACTCTTTATACGTTGTATATGACTAGAATAACACCGAAGTAAAATGTAGTATCATCTTACTGTGCACCATGACCTATAAGAAATTTAACTTAGCAACCAGTGCGGGCTATAAACACCTTGCTATAGATTGTTATAGTTCCATTAAGATGTCCATTTATTTTCTTCCTATTGGCGTTCAAATGTTACTAACAGTTGGTTCTATTAATGTAATCCCTGTAAACATGAGTTTCATTTTTGTATTAGGTGGCTCGAAGAAGCAATGTCGAAGAAGCAATAGTCAGAAACTTAGGGCCGAGGAAGCTTTACACCCTTCTTGGCGATACATCTCAAGTGGAATCACAAAGCAGGATCAACTGAGCTTGCATTATAAACCAGACATTAGAGTGGATAAGAAATTTGACCCGCGCTTGGAGAAAAATTATCAACCTTCCCTATTGGTTGATAAGGTTAAACCTCCAGAGAACAGAGATGAAATCACGGATGAGGTTGAGGAATTGAGGGGTGAGGATGAAACAGAAATGATGGCTTTAATTCTACAGGAAAATGCACAACATATCCACGCAATAGTTGAAGATGATTTAACGAATACTGCTGCTGATCAAACTGATTTAGTGAGGCTCCAAGCTGATAAGCTCATTGATTACCTTGGAAGAATTTCCAAAACCCTTGGTCAGCTCTGTGAGATAGTGCAAGAACGTAAATAGTTTGGACAATGCTAAGTTCTGACCAATTTGGATGTCATTTCGAGTATGAGATTACCATTGTATGGTAGCCACTGTTTGGGATATGTAAGTATGTAACTTTAATGTAAGGTAAAACAACAATTTTATTCCCTAAATGGTTGTCATCATGGTTGTACTTTCTTTCCGTGAATGTGATGATTCTACGCCAACCAATTACATCATTACGTCAAACAAATATAGAATGGAGAATTTTATGTTTACCTTTACATTGATAGAATGGGGAATTTTATGATTTCCTTTGTTAGTTACCTTCAATGTTTACTTTCACATTAATAATTAATAAAGTTTTTTTTTTTGCAAATTTATATATAGTCCGGTTCTAGAATTTTAGTGAGGACACTCTTCGTGAGAAATGAGAACGCCTCAAACCGGTGCACATTATGATTTACTATGGAGGTGCACATTTATGGTTAAAATAGTTCATAGTTTAAATGTGCACATTTGTGATTAAATCAATGCATAGTTTAAATGCACTTTTTCTAATTTATGATAATGCGCATTTCTATTTCAATTAATGCATAATGCTCAAATGATTTTTTGAAAAATTATTTGGGTGTCTCCCTGATTAAATTTTTAGTTGAAATTTGGTATGGATAAACTAGACTTGAAAAAGTACATGCTAAAAAACTTTCATAAAAAAATTACACCGAGAAGGTCTCTAAATGCCCTCGGCCGGACGGCGGTTCCCGTAATATAGGCGGCCGCATAATGCTCGTTCCCCCAAAGAAACTCTTTAGTTCGGTTCGATTTAGTTCGGTTTGGTACGGTTTGGTTCGGTTAAACCAAACCGTTATGCCCACCTCTAGTTGTAGACTTGTAGATTAAGTAATACGGAGTACTTTCTTGTGGATTAAGTAATACCTTCACCAGGATTAAGTAATACATTCACCATTGATCAACAAGAACATCCAAATCCTGATGTCAAACTTGTTGCCCAATTTCTAATTTCCCTCGATCCGATAAAGTCCGAAATACTTCGTACTCGTATTTAATTTTTGAAGTAATATTTCGAAGCTAAAATTTGGAAATACTCCGTAATACTTTAGGAAATAAAGTGTATGCCAAAACTTGAGTAATAAATGCCAAGTAACTAATTAATTTCATGGCAATTTCATAGTACGTAGGAGTCGTCCCGGCCCTATATAATATACTTTAAGTGGTATTCGATCCCAATCAACCATATTTCCATTCCGGCCGGCTACTTATTACATCAATTCAATAATACTCCGTATAGTTTTTGAGTATACAAATAATATATACTCCGGTAGGTATAGTATCAGCTCAGTGAGCTCAGGGATGGATTTAGGGGGGGGCGCGGGGGGCGACCGCCCCCCTTGGACTTTTAAAATTTTCTACCATATATGTAATATTTTCATAAAACTTTCATAATTTAATTAGATTCGCCCCCCTTATCTTTTAATTTTCAAAATTAATATATAGTGTTACATAATGTAATACTTAATTGAAGATTTAAAAAAAGGAACATCTAAAATAATTACATAACTTAAACAGATAAACAATAGAATAACGCGTTGTTTAAGATTTAGTATACTTATTATATAAGAATTCCTAGTTTTGTAGTGTTTAATTATCTTTATTAGATACAAGTACTTGATTTTGTAAAATATACTCCGTATATCAAACAATATTAAATATCAGACACACTAATTACACAGTTTTTAGATCACGTGAAATGAATCCAAAATATAAATGTTTATTGACATTAAATTACATAATTCATTTACTTCTTGCTTTCTAAAAATAATTTATTGCATAGATAATAAACTTTAAATTATTATAGCATTAATACAAATATTAAAATATAATATGCACCATATGTGTGTGTGTGTATGTGATGCATATTATTCTAAAAATAATAATATCATACATATTACTATTGTAATATTAAGAAAACTTCTCATGAGTCATGACTCACGAACACCCTCCTTGGTGGCCGGACAAAAATTACAATTCAATAATAACCGATTCATGAGGTTAAACAATGTAAAAGTTATTAAAAATGTCTTGGTTGATGTCCTTGTCATCGTCTAATTTAAACTTAGAATGTACTACTTAATAGATTTAAATGTCGTTGGGGATGTGTATGTATTAATGTCATTTTTTTGAATAAAATTAGCCGCATAGCCCTACAGTAGCGGAAAAAATTCGCCCCGCTACACTAGGGAAAAATTTTTGCCCCACTACACTAACGAAAATTTTTTCACCCCCTACACTACCGAAAAATTTCGCCCCCCTTGAATAGAAATCCTGGATCCGTCCCTGAGTGAGCTAGTCATCGATTGATCATGGCGAAGATAATTATGAATTACATTCAGCTTCGGGAAGGCCGCCGCTGCCGTAACATAGGCGGCCGCATAATGCTCGTCCCCCCAAAGAAACGGACTTGGAATACAATGATGCTGCCGGAGTTGTCGTCATCCGGGGCGGCGGCCGAAGACGTTCCGCCGTCATTATCCCTAGTGCCTGCTGATGTCGTCGCCGTGGGGAACAAGAAGATGAAGCAAGACGGCTGCGGCGGCGAAGGCCCCACCGAAAGCACCGCTCGCCGCCCTGAAATTGCACATTCGCTAGGTGGAGGCCCTTTCTTTGGTTATTGCATGATAGATAGATGGATGGATGATTTCCTTTTGTATTAATTCATTCAAATTGCAACGTGATAGCCTTTGCTGCGCTGTATATTCATAATTCATCACACTTACTCAATTCGCATTTTATTATCCGATCCATATAATGTGAAAACTACAATCATATATATGGAGTAAGGAATCAACTAGCTAGATCAGAACTAAAATAACTAACTCATAAGTTTGATTTAGAAGTAAGTGAGTAGCATAGTGTTTTGATGAAGGCCATCTCTAGTTAAATTCATCATAAGTCGATTATAGAATTAATGCTTATTAAGGTTATGTTTGTCAAGCCATTTCAACTAAATGGCTACATAAATGACAAGTTTGAATAATGGATGAATTAAAATGTTTACAAACTTAGCATTTGTGTTCTCAGACGATTTTATAATAGACGCTTGTTTCATAATTAAACACTTTCTCACCACAAAAAAACAACGATTTTGGCACGGATTTGACACAGATACGTTAAATCCATATCATGCCAAATTTGGTGTCAATGCGGTTCTGTCACCAGCTATTTGGCACGGCCTCACTCAAAAAATATATCATGATTCGTGTCAAACTCAGTTAATCTGTGTCAAGTCCATGTCAATATTGTGGTTTTTGTCTCTTTCTTCACTACACTTGTCACCCTTCTAACACAGAATTCATTTTATTTCTTCACTGCGCTCATGGCCTTGTGTCGTTGAATCCTTCTCCCACCGTCAATCCCCGTAATCGGGTAAGCTACGAATTTCAATACTATCCAAATGTGATACATGTGTTGGTGTTGGTATTTCTAAAAAGAGAAAACTGTCAAATAGGTCTTCGTACTTTTACGAAAAAGTCAATTGAATCCTCGAAGTTTTTCGTAAGTCAATCAAGTCCTTTAAGTTTTAAAAAATCACCAAATCCACCATTTGGGCGGTAAATAACTGATAACTCATTTACATGGTGATGTGGACATCCAGGTGGCATTTTTGTACTGTTTTATATTATTTTGTAGGTGAGAACTCCAGTACCTTTTTAAAAATTGGGGTACCGTACCTACCATGCATTTGATTGGTCCCCATCATTCTATTCCTTTTAATTTAGATTTAATTAATTCAACTGCATCACTTCTATTGGTCCATGTGGACAAAGGTATGGTACCTTAAGGGTACCATAGAATCTACCTATTTTGTATTCTTTCTTTTCCTTTTATAGCAGCTGCCCCCACTCAATCCCCACCCAACCCTATTATATATATATTTCAAATTTTATTTGTATACATATATCATTGTATTATACGTAGTATAAGTATTCACTAAAACACTACTAGACCAATCTAGCACACCAGCCAAGCGGATGGAGTGGCAGGCACTCTTCTTAAGTGTTAAGGGTTCGAATCCCCTTGGCAACTCCACTTTGTTTTATTTTTATGCTTTCTTGAAACTGTTTAAATTAAGTTTGTCCAAATATAAAATTCAAATTAATTTTTTAATGTAGCTAATAAATGATATGGAATTTCAATAACATATTCTCACACTTGATTAATATTAAAACATGTTTATTTGTAACTTAAATCACTTATAATTACATATTTCATCCATTTCTTATATATTTCTGGTTTTGTATTTAAATAAACAATAGAATGTCTAAACCTAATATCCAAATTAGTTTTAAAATAATTTATTTTAATGTAACTAATAAATTATATGTAATTTCAATCACATCTTTTTGCACTTAGTATTAAAACACACTTGTTTATCTGTAACTTAAATTAATTATAAACATATAATTACATATTTCATTTGTTTCTTATAAATTTTTTTTTTAATCAATTGTCAAATTTTTAATTAATATTTATTTTTTAAATATGTGTGATACCGTTAATGTAAATTTGCCCCCGCTGGTTGAATATCCTGGATACGCCACCCGGTGTGGGTATGGAGGTGTTTAGGGACGGAGAGAGAAGATGGTGACTTGGTGAGTATGGAAATCAGGGGCGGATGTACTTTCTAAACGATAGGGGCACATGCCCCCAATGACTTCTCAATATGTTTGAGTTTTTAGCTTACAAAATCATTCTTTTCATAAAGTAATAGTAGAGTGCCCCCAACAAAAATAAGCAGTGCCCCATCAATAATTAATGTTTGTGACCCATTTATTTTGATTGTCTTAGCTATTGAATAATGCGTAGCTAGTCGTTCTCTTTACTCTCTTCTTAATTAACTAATGATTAATTAAATTTAATGTAATTTGTTTTATTTTGAATCAATTTTTTTGGAGCAGATTAAAGAAATACTCTGTACTATAAGAGAAAAACACTTCCATCTAATCATAATTAATGGGGTGATTATATTAAAATAATGTGTACTCCTTTAGTGTCTAAGTAATTGGTTGGAATACTCCCTTCCAATCATGAAGAAAGGAAAACAGTTTTTGGATATCATTCTAATCAAAATATCAAATCGATAAAAACGAAAATACTCACTTAAAGGAAAATTCCTTATATAAGACTACAATATAAATAAAGTGCACATATAGAACTATCATTGTTTTCTTCCTAAAATGAGACTTTTTTTCTAATAGGAAAATTTTGTACTTTTAATAGATCGAATCAAATAAGTCTTATTTCG